ATACATATCCAGGAATTTACCAGGAATTTCCTTGGTGTTATTTAAACCAAGGTGATGTATATGTATATTTTTCACAAAATAGTCACTGTTTGAAGAAGGAATTCCTCCCTTCAATTGAGTTCAGGCCTAATCAACAAGTAGTGATTGGCCAATAGCTAAATGCAAAGTGCTGTGCTAAGTTGGGGAATACAAAGCTGAATGAGAAAACATTTATGACCTTTGGAGAAATACAAATATCTTTATCTCAGAGATAGAAGGAGATTGATTGGCTTGGAGGGAGATGTTTTCTTGAAGAGTATAACAAGTTCCCCTGCAATTCTACTCTTCGTTACTATTTAAATACAATTGGATTTTTTAAATATGTAAAATTAATATAATTTTACAAATGTTTTTGTGAAGAATGAAAACTTTATTAGTAGTAGAGGAAAAGGACACAGCTGGAAAATTGAAAACATTTTGGTTCTTTGCTGAGAAAACAGAATCGAGTAACAGCAAAAAGTGTATTTCTGGAATTGGACCTTGACAACTCTATTTAATCATTCCACCACTTTTTGCTATATGAGCTTGGATAAGTTGCTTAACCTCTTTGTGTGTCAATTTCCTCATTTGTAAAATTGGAATAAATGTTTTTTGAGACAGACTAGAATGTTGCCTAGACTAGAGTGCAGTGGCATGACCACAGCTCACTGCAGCTTCAACTTCCTGAGTTCGAGTGATTCTCCAGCCTCAGCTTCCCAGAAGCTAGAACCACAAGCACACATCACCATACCTGGCTAATTTTTTTAAAGTTTTTCATAGAGATAGTGTCTCGCTAAGTTACCCAGCCTGGAAAATTGGAATAATTCGTAAATTCTTCTTCCTAGAGTTGTGAAGATAAGTTGAGTTAATGCAAGTAATGTACTTGACAGGGAGCTTAGTCCATGTGATCACTCAATGAATACTAACATTTCTTGTCTCACAAATAGTTACTTACATCTGTCTGGCACCAACTGCCTCTCTCACTTTCCATACTCTGGTTACTATTTATTCTTCATTTCTCAGCTCAGACAATATCTTTTCCATATAGTTTTGTTGACATCACTTTGGGGAAATAGATGCCTCTTCTGGTTGCTTGTTCAGGCTTTTTTATGTATACACCTTCTTTACTGACTGAAATTACTTGTCCGCTACTCTGTGCTTTTCATGACACACTGAATAAGACAGGAAGAGAGTTTGTCTATGCTCAACATAAGATAGAAATATAATGGGGGCTTCATATATGTTTGTTGAATAAAAAATATGAAGGGAAAATAGCAGATCTAATAATGCAGGACAGGAGGCACAATGGAACGGAGGAGAGAACCTTGTTTGAGAAAAGACATAACTAAAACAGGGCACAGGAGGGCATGGAGGGACATGAAAAAAAGATTGGACGAAAAAGAGACAGAGACACAAATGTTTGTAGTAATTTGTGACAAGTGGCTTTGATTGTTCATGGCCTAATCTTATAGGGCATGAAGTTATTTCATTCTCTGTAACCCACTGAGAGTTTATACAATAACACATGTTATAAGGAGTCCCCTTCTCCCTTTTTATAAATTTTTAGACCTCCTGTGATTTGAGGCTTTTCTAGAAGAATTTAGCTCAAGACCATATTGTTTTTTTTTTAAACATAGTGTCTGGAATGAGATAACTTCCTGCAAGGCTAATGCATTTATTTTGGGAATACATAAGCTTGATATCATTGTTACCAACAGTGCTCAGAGTTGATTTTATTTTCATTCCAACAGAAAAGGAAAGAAAGCAACTTCTTTCATGCTTTCATGCCACTCTGCATCTCTCTACCTTCACAGAGTTTCTCAATAATGGCAACATTTCCAATTCATCAATAGACTAAGAGATCATTGAGGCTAAACTAGCCTTATTAATCCTTATACTCCAGCTCCTAGCTGACCTCCTGGGAACATGATAGACACTCAGATACTCTTTACTGAAATACATATAGAAAGTTAATATAGGTCTGCAAAAAAGACAGTCTCTCACCTGGAATAAGAGAATAAAATCTAGGACAGCCCATATCTGAGATCTCTAAACAACCTAACTACAACCACCAAAAAAAAAAAAAAAAAAAAAAAAAATCCCTGGATTTGAGATTTATTTTTTTTTCCCGTTTTTAATATGTTCTAGTTAGTTGGAGAGCTAAAATAAGTGATAAGAAAAATCTAACCTAGGTATTTAAACAGAATTATTCTGAATGTTGTGAGCTATATTTCTTTTTTACCTTTTATTGATATGTACTATGTGTACATATTTATGGGGTATATGTGATATTTTTTTTACAAGCATAGAATGTGTAACGGTCAAGCCAGAGTATTTAGAGTATCCATTACCTCAAGTGTTTATTATTTCTGTGTGTTGGGAACATGTTAAGTCTCCTTTTAGCTGTTTTGAAATATACATTGATTTTAACTATCATTAACACAGAGTGATTGATATGCATAGCAAATAATATTTGCAGTAGGATATCACATATTTACAAATGTCATTTAACAAACATTTTCCAATTACTTTCTGTATACAAGGCACTTGTCTAAAAATATCAATTCATACAACTCTTTTAAGGACCTTAAGAGGATACCATGGGACAAATTTTGAGCTTTCTTTTGTTTTTTTTTGTGAAATGAATTGATTCCTTTTCTCTACATCCAGCAGAAAGACTTGAAGAGAAGAGTAATACCTAAGAACTAGAAATTCCTTTTCTGTGTTTCAAAAGATATCAAAAGATCTAAGGAAGATGTTCACATCAAAAATGAGTATTGTAATATTTATCATCTGTGATGCACTTGCAAAAAAGAAAACAATAATAATTTGAAGATTTAAGTGAATTTTTTATGACATTGGAGTACCACACATTTAGAATAAAGCACCAAATAAATCATAGAAGGAAATGGAATATTTGTAGGATCAAGATAAATTTAGCTTGTCATAACATAAAGCAGGTATCCGGATAAAAGCTTGAAAATATTTTCATTTCCCCTTATTTATAACTTCAATTTACTACAATGATTAATTGTAGGTAAAAGACTTAGAATACTGAAGTATGAACATCTTGAAGTGCCACAAAATGTAAGCTAATGACAATGACTGCTTAGGAAATAGCAGGCTAGGTCTATATTTATAGATTGTCAATGACAAGGAATTTGCAGATGTTAACAAACATAGATCTGAACTTAAGTTGCAACAACCTTTCCCACTTTGAGATGAATAGTGCATGGAAGAATAAAATGCAGATATTAATAAATCAGAGGAAGACATTGCACCAGAGTATAAAGTTGGCAGATTTATACCAATGAACTTGAACAAAGCCACAGAAGTTCTGCTTGTCAAATTTCCTGGGTGACAACAGATCTGGAGAAGTGGCTGGTGCTTCAGATAATAGCATTAGCATTTAAGATCTGTTTAAACTTCAAATTAACAAAATTAAATTAATATATGCACATATCAATTGGGTGTTCTGCTTATATATCACCTCTTAATAGAGCCATTTTGACCAATCATTTCTAATGTGACTTTTGGGATTTTCTGCTCATCATCACTTCATCCTGTTTGGTTTTCATTATAGCATCTATCTCTTCCTAATGTTTTCCCTATGTATTTATTAGTTCATTTTTAAAAAAAATCTCACTTTACTAGAAAATAAAATGCATGAAAATAGCAACCTGTTTAACTTTGTATCACTAAGAGTGGAAAAAGAAACCTCAGGAAATATTTGGTAAAATAATAAAATGCCCATTGATGCACTTCCCTTAAAAAGAAATTTAACTAGTGCAGATTAGGAAAATACAACAATATTTCTTGTAAACATGATGTATATAGAATAATAGAAGTACTAGGTCCCAAAAACTATTCTATAAATAGAAGAAATAACAGATGGTTTTGCTGCTGATTAATCCATTGATCTTTCATAAATCATCTAATTTCCCCAGGAACAGCTTCCTCATTTATAAAAGAGGGTTAGTGATAGCTAAGTCCTCAGGGATTTTTAAAATGCATCTAGAAGAATTTTATAAACCATAAAGCACAAAACAAATGTGAAAAATTATGATTGGAGGAGGGGGTTGGGCAGTTAACTAAATCTCAGTGTAAACCATTAGTGTCTTGTGTGTGTTGAAAAAAAAATACACATAAAAATTGGTTGCATCCAAAAAATAATGTACTTTTTGAACTGGCAAGACTCAAACCATATTATTATTACCTCCTCCCAGCTATGCAGTTTGCAAGATATTGACAATTGTCTAAAGGAAGACCAAACAGATATAGGTGGGAGCTACTGTCATTTGAACAACATTGAAAAAAAAAATACTAAAAGAAAGAAACGTGACGGCATATAAAGAAGGGCTAGGGCTGTGATGTTTATTTTGAATATGTGAAACATTGTCATGTGGAAGATTTATTCTGTGTAGCACCAAGATACAAACAAACTAGGAATTAGTGGTAAAAGACGCAAGAAGGCAAATAGTGGCTTTAGACCTTGGTTTAATGTAAGGAACAGTTTTCTCACCGTTAGAGCACTCCCATAAGGGTGGAGGTAGTGAACTGTGGTGGTCACATCCAAGCTAGATGGGGGCATGTCAGCAATGTTATCACGAGGCTTCTACTCTTAAGCTGAAGTCCAGACAAGATTTGCAGGCTCTTCCCAAGTGCAAGATTGTAATTACTCAATGGCAATATTTTTACCCTGTTTATTAAGAATAAAAGAATAATGAATTCACATTCTAACAAATCCTGGAATACTTATTATTAGAGACAAAACCAATGTATGAGAGAATGGCAGGTGACGTCAGCCCTGAATCAATGAGAAGAAGACCCAAAGGGGTGTGGTATTCACCAGAGAGAGCACTTCTGCTTAGATGACTGCATTCTATGAGGAATATTTACTATAGTTTAGTATGTTGGTGGTCTGTCTTGCTTGACAACATTAACTATGATCATATTTATGACCTTTGGTGTCCTTCAAGAATTTGTTGCTGTATTTCATATGACACTTAACTGTTGCAAATACAAATTCCAGGTAAATAGACCCTTCAATTCAGAAACAGTCTCATTCTCCAGTTTTAAGAAGAAAGGGAAGAAGGAGATGCCTTAAAGACTCAGCAAGTGTGAAGCTGGCAAATGTCAAATGTTAAAATAAGTTTATATTAAATGGTAAAATATTTGCCTGGAATGACTTTTCCATTGTCCTGCTTGAGAAATGCAGAGGGCTCTCCTTATGACTTTTATATTTGCTTTACAAAGACAAATGTATCACCATGCTCTGTAGTAACCGTATGTTGACATTTTTGTCATATCCACAGACGGATGCATGTCTGTGCATGGTTTATAGTAAGTGCACGTAAACAAAGAGAAAATAAGTAGAAAAAGGGAGAGATTTATTAACTCCTCCCAGACACAGATGAAATTAGTTTTCATTACTTTTTTTTTTTTTTTTTTTTTTTTTTCCAGCTTCAGCCATCCCTCAGCGCGGGAGGAGGCTGTGTGCTGCGGACTGTGCTGGAATGAGGAGTAATCGGGCTTCAGCTGAGCCGGGGTAGCTTTCTCCTCCCGGTGTCATTGTTGCAGCCTCCAGTGCCCAGTCCCTAGTTCCTGAGCGGCCACTCTTCCCGGTGCCACATCGCCCATCAAGACAGCAGAGCCGCCGCAGAAGTTGCCCGGCAGAAGCCTCCAGAGGCATTGGCTCAGGAACTTTTCACGTCATTTTCTGCTCGGGAGCCCCTTCTCGCCGCTCCGCGCAGCCTTTCCCACGGCACATCCCCGGTGCTCATGGGGCAGGCGGAGAGGAGCTGGCAGCACTGAGCCGAACCGGACTCGAGCCCGTGATGTCCGGCACCGAACTGGAGGACTGCCCCCCTTGTCGCAACTGGTCATCTGCCTCGGAGCTGAATGGAACTCGAGAGTCCTTTTTAAACCCCAGCGACTATGACGACGAGGAATTCCTGCGGTACCTGTGGAGGGAATACCTGCACCCGAAAGAGTATGAGTGGGTCCTGATCGCCGGGTACATCATCGTGTTCGTCGTGGCTCTCATCGGGAACGTCCTGGGTGAGTCCCCCCCCCCCTCCCGGGCAGCCCTCCCGGGGGCTGTCACCTCCCCTCCGCCGCGGGCTGCCATGGCTCTAAAGAGACCCCTCCCTCCCCCTGGGAAGCAAACAAAGAGGTCGCTGCTCTCGGGTGGGGTTTTCTAATTAAAGAAAATATAAAAAGTTTTCTGATTTTCCAAACCAGGACCGAGCCCTGGAATGGGTTATTCCCTGTTCTGCTGAAAGGAGGGGAAAACCGCGTTTCCTTTTCCGAGCCCCTAGATGACAAGCGCAGGGAGAGGGGCCACGACAGGGAGCTCCAGGTGGATTTTGTCGAGTTGGGGGAGGAATCAGTCATCCCTTTGTGTACCCTGGCTGGATGCTTGGGGGTGGGGGGTTCGGAAGAGGCAGAGCTTGCAGAATGCAAAGCTGCATCCCTAAGGAGCAAGGTCTCTTTGGCTGTGGAAGTCACAAAGCTTTTGTGAGCTAGGTGGCATTGCCCTTTGGTGAGGAGGTTTAGCCTCAAGTCAAGAGATGGTAATGAACCAGCAGGGAGTAGAGATCCCGGAGGCAAAGCGGGGAACTGTACTCACTCATTGGAGCTGAATTGAACAGAAACCATGCCTGGAGCAAGAAGGAGGAGGGGCATGGGAGAGAAATACCACAGAGATCTCAATCATCCATCCATCCATCTATCCATTCATTCAAACATCCATTCAGCCAAATATGTTTTTGTTTCGTTTTGTTTTCAGTCTGCTTGTTGAGGGGGCTCAGGAATTATTCGTATCAACTGTTGGCTGTTGTTGTTGGTTTGTTTTCCCCAAAGATGAGACTAAGCTTAATGCTGGGCTATTTGTCCCTGTCTAGCTCTGAATGCAAACACAGGTTTCCTCGACCCCCGCCCCCCACCAACAGTTTCTAAGGACTGGGGAGGGGGTGAGATGGGAACATAGTGACTGAGATGATGGAATGAGTCTGGGCAGGGGGAATCTACCTCAAGAAAAGGGGCTTTGGAAGGGAAGAATAACTTGAAATAAATTGTGAATGGAAGGAGAGTGTACCTTGATGAATGAAGAGGAGAAGGCTGGGAGACTTTTCACATGCAGAGGGCAGTGTGGAGGAAGTCTCTGCTGACAACCACAGGAGATGGAGGAGGCTAGGAGTTGCTCTCGATTTTCAGTTGTAACAGGGGAAGAAGGTGAGTGGGGTGAGATAGGCTGGGAGGCTTTGCAGTCAAAAGCAAAGAACTTGTAGCTTCAGTGGAGACCGACAAGGAACTTATCAAGCTTTCAGCATTCATCTGATTCTTATCTTCTCTCCCTCTGTGTTGGTCTGGGTAGAAAGCAACCAGAGTAGTCTCTCACCAACTCAGCAGGCAGAATAGATGATAGTTTGTGAATGAGGGTAATTCTCCGGAGAGTTGGTACAATATTATTTGAGGAGACGAGAAACCTCTGAGAACTTTAGTACATTTTAAAATATTATTTTTAGACTGTTTCAAGGAAATCTTTTTAGGATGTTAGCAAACTGAAACAAAAGAGGAAATACACATGATTAGAACTGTTGCTATAAGCATACATGTGCTGATAATAATTGCAATCTTGCTTTTCTTCTTCTTTTTACCCATCCTTAAGATTACATCTCTTAAGACACATGGCGACCAGCATAGCAACATTTTACTACATTATGACGACACTTTAATAAGTGAATAATTAAAATTGAACATATATTGAGTACCTATTGTGTGCCAGATCCCTTCATTCACATTCTCTCCCTTAAACATCAGCATAACCCACATTAACCAGAAGAAGAAACAAGACTTAGAAAAATAAAATGACATATTAAGGGACATAATTTAGATTCAGTTCCATTTCTTCTGACCTCAGATCCAGAATTCTCCATTGTTATTCCACTCTAGAGCTAGAAAGCATATAGAAAATAGATTCTCTGCTCCTGATTGTCTGCAAGCTTATTGGATGTGTTCCTGTACTCCCCTGCATCAATACCCACTGCCAATAAAGTACAATGAGGGGTTAATGGCACTATCATTCTCTTCACCAAAAATCCTGTCCAGGGAAGCAGTACTTTTTTTTTTTTTTTTTTTTTTAATGGATAGCTATAAACAGTAACTATTTGCCTTCCTTATTTTAATTTTAGGTTGAATCTTTGTGATAAAATGTGCTCTTCTTTGCTGTTATTGCATGTTTACTTTGCACAGGCCTCGTAATGAACAGTCTCCACTAACATAATTGGATAGTTTAGAGTTACATGTTTGCTAGCCTGGGAAGTTTTAGTTTCAAAAAGGAAACACCTCTACAGTAAGGCTACTTGTTTTGTAATGTCAAGGAAGATAGCACTATCCACAGCCCCAAGTGCTGAAATGGCCAATTCCATTCAGCCTAAAAAGATTTTCTCAAAGCACTCTGCTCTCAAGAAACTGACAGCTATTTTCCTCAGGACTGAGTAACACTGAAATCCTCTCTGTTTGAACTGAAACTCATTCTTTTCTGCCATACTTCCTGAGAGTTGATGAGGTTTAGGTTTGACATTTAAACAAATGAATAGTGTCGTTACTCACAGACGATGTCCTGCTCTTTGATGTCACTGTCAAACTTGCAAAATGAATTAGATTGAGAATTTTTTTTTTTTTGTCTCTCTGGTATAAATAATTTTACACATAGAGTGGTAGGACAGGATGTCACGTGATTTATGCGAAATAAAGATGCAACATTAAGTATGAAGGTGAAATACCAAGAGGGTAGGCAGCAGATGTAATCACTGAGCCTTCATGCTCAGTCGCCACTGATACTTTCATATAACTAACTACTTGGAAAATCTCAGTATTTGGGGGCTTACAAATATAATGCCATGTGTTAGAAGTCATTTTCCTTACAGTGTCCTTTCCTGAAGTGGATGTAATTGGATATGCTATGAGTATCATGACACATTCTTGATTGTCCTCATCTCTTTCTCTCCTCCTCAGAGTCGTTCCCTATCATTATGCCCCCTCTCCACACTCATAACTTCCACATCTCCAGAGATGGAAAGCAGTTTCCTGAGGAATAAAGAGTTAAATGGAATTTTAGGAGTATTTACTTTCCAGTGAAAAGCTGTAAGCATGTTTATTGTGGAATTTTAAGTTGCAAAGAAGGAGCATGGGGTAAGGTTCTTTTTGGAAGGCGTATTTTTTCAGTATCTTCAAAATAATGCCACCTATTAACTATTCCTAACTATGTCTTCTATTACAGCTAAGTAGATGTAGCAACTTACTCACTTAGTGCATTTTAAGCATTAGTGGTTTTTTTTTTTTTTTTTTTTTTTTTTTTTTTTTTTTTAATTAATGTGTATATCGGCGGAAGCATTGGGGAAATGTAAAGAAATGTAATTGATGTTAATTTTTGCTCCTGATTCCTTGAGTGAAAATTTGAGGGAGAAATGTGTTCTAGTCAGTTCAAGCATTAAGGAACTAGGGAAAATGATCAATTTTCCACCTCTCTTATATCTGCATTCAAAGATATCACAAGTTTCACCTGGTATGCTTCTATCATATCTGTTATTGTCTCTATATGAAAAATGGGAAACGTGTAATAAATGTCCACATCAGTTCAGTTATGCTTCTCGCTTCTTGTGTGCCATTAGCAAGTTATTGAACTATCCAAGTCAATTATTTTATAATTATAAATTAAGATCGATAATGCCTGCATTGTAGAAATAATATCAGGATGTAATATACAGATATCCTCTCTAAGGACATGTAAAGGAACATAGGCACATGCATATTATTTGACACATAGACACTAATTAACGTCAATTTTTATCTCTTAATTTTCATGACTGAAGTTTTTGTGATGTGGTTTACAGCCAGCTTCTGCCATCATGGCCAGTCTGTAGCTCTGTAGCTCTTTGTAGCCTCTGCCCCAGCCTTTTTCTTAATTGCGTATTTTCCTAAAAGGTGTGAATAAAATGGTGTTGGCACAGGTTAGTTACTCTCCTTTTCCACACTGGCTACACCCACCCATCCCTTTCCTACTGATTACTTAACCTTGCCTCGTTGCCTTTCCATGAAAGCCATTTCTAACTACTGGAATAGTTTGCTTGCTTTCTCAGCTTAAGTTTGCCTGCACTGGTCCCATTCGTTTAGAGGTTTTGAGTTGTTAATAGGCTGGTCTGTCACTTCTAATGTTTTAAATAACACACACACTAGTAATATATTAATTTAACTCATATATTGTTAAAATACATAGTGAAGTATTCATAGTTAAAATACATTGTCCATTTGTCCGTTAAGTAATTTGCCCAATAATAGTTTATCCAAATGAGGTGTGTGAAATGGGAAAATATTTGTAATAGGGTTGCTTCCTACAGGCTTAATCTTCTGTCATATATGTAAGTGGTAGAGTTGCAAGTTCATGCTACTCTTAAGGCTAGGCACATTTATTTTCTGCTTCTTCTAATGCCCATTTTAGTTTTGTGGGTGTCTGTAAACCTATCCTTTCCTACACAGGAAGCAAAAATGAGTTTCTAGCCTCTTTTTAGATGTGGAAATAACATATCACTCATCTCTGCCAAGACTCATTATAAATCATGAATAGTGACTCTAAAAGGTAATATTAAATATTAAGCTTTAAACCCGTTGTGCATTTTAGTTGTAGAACGCAAAAATGCTTATCTGAATAAGAGACTGATACCTATGCATTTTTGCTAAAATCTTAATGCTTAGTCTTATTTAGTAAAATAAATTATATCTTTGACTTAAAATCCCAATGATAACTTTTAAGATAGCTATTTCATAGATAACAGCAACATTTATCATGGACAGACAATAATGAGAGTACCATGATCAACTGATAATTTAAATGTAATGAGTTCTTTCTGTATTTGAAAAAATATATTTGGAAAATGGGATAATAAAAAATAGCAATTTTTGAGAGACCAAATCTAAAATTTAAATACAAACACAATGCTCCAGTTTTTAGAAAACTGTCTTAATTTTAGTAGTGCTTGCATAATAAATTGTCATGT